CCTGTCCTGGGCCATGTCAGCAGTGTGACCCTCAATACCTTTATTTGTTTTGTTTTTGAGTCAGAGTCTCACTCTGTTACCCAGGCTGGAGTGCCGTGGCACAATCACGTCTCACTGCAGCCTTGACCTCCTGGGCTCAGGCCATCCTCCTGCCGCAGTTTCCTGAGTAGTTGAGACTACAGACACCACCACACCCGACCTGGATAAACCTTTTAACCTTTCTAAAGATAGTATGAGTCTGCAGGGTGGCAAAGTAACAAACATCATGGACCGCAGGGCTTGAAACAGAAATGTATGTTCTCACATTTCTGGAGGTAAGAAGCCCAGTTCAAGGTGCTGACAGGGCTGGCTCCTTCCCAGGCCTCTGTCCTGGGCTTGCAGGGACCGTCGTCTCCCTATCCTTAGAGGGTCGAGTGTGTCCAAATCTCCCCTTTTTATGAGGGAGCCAGTCATATTATTAACACCCACCCCAATGACCTCATTTTAATGAAGCGGCCTCTTTAAAGACCCCATCTCCACATAGCCCCGTTCTGAAGGGTTAGGGCTTCCACACTGGAATTGGGGACACAGTTCTGTCCATGACAGGGTAGGGTCTGAGTTCTGCCTCCCAGGTTACAGCGAGAGTTGTTAGCCATTAAATGCAGCCAGGCCCAACAAGCGGGGCCCTGCCGCCCGTGCGGGGCCTGACATAGTTTCCACAGCTGCATACCCATGGGGGTGCCCAGGCCTTCTCAAGAAGGTGCACGGCGGGGGCTGGGGGGGAGGGGGCAGGTTGGGCATTGCCTTCCAAGCCTGACCTGTCCATGATCTCCAAGGAATGGGTGGCTGAGCCCAGTTTAGCCCTGGGTGCCTGAGGAGCCTTGCTTCTGAAACGTCTTGTCTACGGCTGTATCAGAGACGCGATTTGAGGCTGGGCGCGACGACTCACGCCTACAATCCCAGTACTTTGGGAGGCTCAGGCAGGAGGATCTCTTGAGGTAAGGAGTTCAAGACCACCCCGGGCAACATAATGAGACCTCGTCTGTACAAAAAATGAAAAAATTAGTCAAGCGTGGTGGTACATGCCTGTGGCCCCAGCTAACCCCTGGCGGCCTGGCTTCCAGTGGGGAGTGGGCCTGGCCGGGGCAAGAGAAGGTCCCTGTGGCCCTGACCCCCCCTGGCTGAGCCATCCCTTCCTGACTTGGCCGCCAGGACTGTCAGGGCTCCCGAAACCCTTCCTAAAAAGGTATCGGGCTGTGGTGGCCTGTGCTATTTTTAGACAATTGTGTTGAAAAATCCCAATGTACATTTAGCATCATGTGTGCTTTTCCTTCAGGAAGAGAAAAGAGGGAGTAAGTGGCTCTCCCTGAAACAGGGCATGACCCTGCGAGGTGCCTCAAGCCCACCAGGTCTGAAGGGGCTGGGCCTTGTAGCTGCCCAGCCCTGGAGTTTCCAGCCAGAGGAGGGCCTCCCTGGTTCTCCCTCAGCACACAGGATGCTCACGTAGCAGGTGGGGAGACTGATGCCAGGCTGTGCTCGACTCCCTTTCTAAACCTTTAAATTTTTTTTCTTAAAATCAGCTTTATTAGCCGGGCTCGATGGCTCAGCCTGTAATCCCACGCCTTTGGGAGGCTGAGGTGAGTGGATTGCCTGAGCCCGTGGGTTCGGGACCCGCCTGGGCAGTGAGACCTCATCTCTACAATAAATTAAGAAAAAAAATCAGCTGGGCGTGGTAGCGCATGGCTGTAATTCCGGCTACTTGGAAGGCTGAGGCGGAAGGATCGCCAGAGCCCAGCAGGTCGAGGCTGCGGTGGCCGGGAGCGGCCACTGCACTCCAGTCTGGGTGACAGAGTGAGACTCCAACTCAAAAAAAAAAAAAAATCAGCTTTATTGAGGTATGATTAGCATATAACAAAATGCAAATAACTAAAGTGTGCGGTTTTTATTTATTTACTTTATTATTTTTTTGTAGAGATGAAATCTCGTTATGTTGCCCAGACTGGTCTCAAATTCCTGGGCTCAAGCAATCCTCCCACCTTGGCCTCCCAAAGTGCTGGGAGGACAGGCATGAGCCACCACACCCAGCCTCAAGTGTACAGTTTGATATGTTTTGACATTTGTATCTACCCGTGAAGCCATCACCACCATCAAGACAGCAAACACATCTGCCACCCTCACAAGTGTGCCCATACCCTTTGTCATCCACGACTCTGTTTTCTGGTGCTATAGATCCACCTGTGCCAGATCGTTTTATTAAATGGATTCATGGGGCATGTTCCGTTTCTGATCAGTGTCTTTGCTGTTGTCACGCTCCTGTGGTCCTTCCATGGGCCCGTGTTTGTTGAGGCTGTCCCTGCTGGCTGAGAATCCCGTCCACAGAGGATCACACTTGGCTCACCCCCTCCTCTGTGGTTGGATGTTTGGATCATTCCCATCTTGGGGCTGTTACAAAGAAAATTGCTGTGAACATTTGCGGACAGATCTCAGTGGGGATGTGTATTTCCTGCTCTTTTTGGTAAACACCAGAAGAATTCCTAGATGATTCTGTGTTTAACTTTCAAAGAGACTGCCAAACCATTTCCAAAGGGATTCTGCCATCTTACATTCCCACCAGTGGCGCTCAGGTTCCAGTTCCTCCACGCCCGCACAGACACGTGTGTCGTTGTGTGTCACTGATCACAGACAACCTTGTGGGTGTGAGGTAGGATCTCACTGAAGTCTGGATGTGCATTTTCCATGTGACTAAAGGGTTGAACCTTCTTCCATGTGTGCTGGTCAAGGCTTTTTTTTTTTTTTAGAGTTTGGGGGGTTTCGCTCTGTCACCCGGGCTGGAGTGCAGTTGTACCCCCATGGTTCACCTCAGCCTCGACTTCCTGAGCTCAGGCAATCCTCCAGCCTCAGCCTCCCTAGTAGCTAGGACTACAGGTCCACACCACCATTCCTGGCTACTTCCTTGATTTTTTTGTAGAGATGAGATCTCGCTATGCTGCCCAGGCTGGTCTTGAACTCTTGGACTCAAGCGATCCTCCTGCCTCAGCCTCCCAAAGTACAGGGATGACAGGGGTGAGCCTCACGCCCGGCCCCCTCCCTTTAAAGAAGGGTCCTCTCTCTTCACTGCTTCCTCCCTCTGTGGAGCAGGGAGAGCACCGCTGTGGCCCAGTGAATGGACTGGGGCAGGGCCAGGTCCTGGGGACAAGGTGAAGGGAGAAGCCTGAGGTGTGATTTGGGTACAAAGACAGGATTCACTGGAAAAGGCCCATGGGACTTGGGAAGGCCCCAAGCAGGGAGTGAGAGCCCACAGGACCTGCCTGCATTTCTTTGGTGCTTTTGGTACAAGAGACAGAAGCACCCTGACCTGGCTTTAAGCAAAGCAAGGAACTGGATTGCCTCGTGAGATGGAAAAGTCTTGTGCCCCAGGGCTCTGGCGTGGCCCTGGGCCTCAGGTACTCTCTCCATCTCCCCCATCTCTTCCTGAGCTGGCGTCATGCCTGGGCAGCCTGGGCAGCCTGGGCAGACCACCGCGCTTGGTGCCAAATGGTCACCGGCAGCCCCGGACCAGCACCCAGTGAGGATGTCAGACCCAACAGAAAGAGACCCTTCTCCAATGTCTCCATAATAAAAGTCCCAAAGGGGCTTCTCATTGGCCCAAAGCGGGTCACATGCCCAAAGCAGAACCAGTCACTGAAGCCAAGGGGAGTGGAAGCTCTGGTGGTCAAGGTCAGGCCCTGTGTCCACCCTTGGGCCGTGTGGTGGAGAGCGGAGGGTTCTCTGGAGGGAGGCGAGACAGATGGAGGGATCCAGGGAGCAGACAGGAGCAGCCCCGGGGTTTCCGAGGTGAGGCCTGGGAGACAGTGGCTACAGATGCCTGGACCACTCGCCCTGGGGTCCTGGCCTCCCACCCCCAGTCCTGGTCTGGGGCCCCCCTTCTCCTGCACAGAAGGCTGGCTAGGCCCTGGCCCTCTCCAAGGCAAGCTGCCCCACAGCAAACCTGGGTCTAACATCGCCAAGTCCATGCCTTATGGCCGCCCACAGCCCAGATGCCACCTGCAGGGTCTGTGCTCCTTCCTGCTGTCTCTGTGGCCCTCGGCTGCCCCTCGCCTGCCTGCCTCAGTGAGTCAGGGGGCTGTGACCAGTGTGGACAGGCTCCTCCACCAGGAGGGCACCCAGGGTCAGAGCTCAAGCCCCCATGTTTCTGGAGTCCTGGAAAGTGGGCCCATCCTACAGCTGGCGCTTAAACCTGGATAGTAGGTTGGAGCTGCAGCAGCCTGGGCAGTTCGGGGGTGGCAGAAGCCCGCAGTCTCTCTCTGGCTCCTGGTCTTGCTGTCTACACTGTGAGGTGCCAGCTCTGGCCCCAGCAGCACCTCTTGCCTTCCCCTCCAGGTGGCAAAAGGACTGTTGCAGCTCCGGCCTACCACCTGGGTTTAAGCACGCAGGAAGAGCAAGAAAGACCCCTGCCTGGCAGTTACTGCCAACAGGACCATGAAAGTCTCCTGAGAATCATGACTGCTGTGGCCAGGGAAACAGGAGGTGGCTCATCCAGGCTAAGTCACATGCCCTGACCCCAACTCTCCATCCTGACACCTGCTATGGGACTCTCCTCCCACCCTTTCCCCTCCCCAAGGGACCCTCCTCCCTTCCCTTCCCCTCCCCTAGGGATCCTCCTCCCCCACTTTCTCTCCCCTGTGGGACCCTCCTCCCCTCCCTGACCCCACCTCTCGTGGGACCCTCCTCTCCTGCTACCCTCTCCAGGGTGGTGGCCCCCAGAACAGACAGCGCCCCACCCAGGAACTGAGCCGCAACCTTTCCCAGGCCCATGGGCATCTGCTTTATTATTATATTTTACTTGTGTGGCTCGAGTGGGGATTTGCTAACAAGTAGGCCGCCTGCAGGTGAAGTCTGGCTCCCAGCGGCCTCTCTCTCCCTGGTAGTGGGTAGCTACCCGCTCGCGGTGCTGCCACACGGCCCCTCCCTCCTCCCCCCAACAATGCCCTGTAGGCATTTATGCATGACACAGCCATGGGTCCATTTAAAATCATTTTATTATTAACATCATTTTCCATGTAGCCAAGTGTCTGTCATGTATAAGGAATGTCGGTAAATACTCCATTTGAAGCTTCTTTGTACATATTTCCATCGATAAATAAACTCTGAATTCACATAAAAAAGTTAAACTTAAATAACTCATATTTCCTTCTCTTGTAACAGGCATATATTGGTAAAATATAAATATTCTTGGACTCAGGCTTTGTTCTAAGTGAGGACAGGATTCATCACATGGTACAATTATTGACAATAAAACCGAGGAACTGTCCGCTGTGTCACCTGGCGTGGACCAGCACTGAGGTGGGAGACAACATTCACATTTGGTTTCTGGGCCACGGCGGGCGGGGTTGGCGGCTGGGGGCGAGGACAGAGGTTTTCTTTACAGCTCTGATAAAAATAATCTGTGCTGCCACTGAATTTTAATTCTGAATATATTCTACATTGGCTGATTAATTCCATAATCGTTTTACTTAAAACTCAGATGTCAACTAACAAAATATGGCACATAATCCATTTAGAATATCGTCAGTGGGTTCAGAAAGGACCACGTGGGGGTGGCAAGTCAGGGCTCGTGGTGGGTGCGCCGCGCAGTCGCACATCCGTCCCTGGCTCGGTGGGCAGAGCCGTCCCTGGGCGCCCGCGGCCACGCAGCAGTGGGGCCTGCTCAGAGCACACGGGGGATGATGGTGAAGGGCACCGCGGGGCTGCTGGCCTCCAGCTCCAGGGCTGTCAGGAAGCACTCAGTGGCAGCCGCGTCGTTGCCCTGAGCCTGGAGGACCTCGCCCAGCCCGTTCCAGACCTCGTGGGCCGTGGAGTTCACCTGCACCGCGTCCCGAAGGATCTTCTCTGCCAGGCTGTAGCGGCCCAGCTGGTGCAGGATCAGGGCCTGTGGGCATGGGGGAGACAGACAGACAGTCAGAGCCTGCGGAGCTTGGGGTTTGCTCGTCCTCGAGACTCCGGGATGTTCCCTGGAGGGGGGCCATACCTCCACTGGGCTGGGTACACGGCACGTCCTCAAGTACTTCCTGTACTGGGGTGACTGAACAGTCGCTCGAACCATATGAAATTGCTGACAGTCCAATTTTGAATACAAAAATGGCAATTTCATGTGGTTCATGAAAATTTCAGACCCAGGAACGAACCACCCAGAAGGCCCCTGTCTGCACTGACCTACTGCAGCTGTCCTGCTGTGTCTTGGGTGACAGCTGCTGCATGGAAGGGTATTGTCATCTTTTACATTTTTTTTTTTTTTGAGTCAGACAGCTCACTCTGTTGCCCATCCTGGAGTGCAGTGGCATGGTCATGGTTTACCACAACCTCAATCTCCCGGGCTCAGGCGATCCTCCTGTCTCAGCCTCTCAAGTAGTTGAGACTATAGGCACACACCACCAGTCCTGGCTAATTTAAAAAAAAATTTATTTTTTGAAGAGCTGAGGTCTTACCATGTTGCCCAGGTTGGATTTGAACTTCTGGGCTCAGGCGATCCTCCCACCTCAGCCTCCCAAAGTGCTTGGATTCTAGGTGTGCACCACTGTGCCTGGTCTCTTTTTAATTTTTTTTAACCTAAAGAATGTCATTTGTTGCAAAAGTATTGCAATGATATGACGGATTTCAAGCTGTTGGGGCTTGGCTAGGGTGGGCCCCTGACCCATGTCCCTGTTCCCCTGATGAGTACGACTGTCATTCTACTGTTTGGCTGGTCAGGGTGTCTGTGCTGGTCACAGACATATCATCGCAACCCTGTGATGCGCCTGTGCACTTTCTTTTTTTTTGAGTTGGAGTCTCACTCGGTTGCCCAGACTGGAGTGCAGTGGCCGCTTCCGGCCACCGCAGCTTTGACCTGCTGGGCTCCGGTGATCCTTCCGCCTCAGCCTTTCGAGTAGCTGGAATTACAGGCATGCGCTACCCTGCCCGGCTGCTTTTTTGATTTATTGTAGAGATGAGCTCTCTCTGCCCAGGTGGGTCTCGAACCCGTGGGCTCAGACAATCCACTCACCTCACCCTCCCAAAGGCGCGGGATTATAGGCTGAGCCACCGAGCCCGGCTTTCGCCTGTGCACTTTCATGGCTGGATTCGCCCCAAGGGCTCACTCTCTCCCTTCCGGGGAAAGACCCTGAGGTCAGGTCTACTCTTGGTGCTGCTATAAACCACACCACAATGAATATCTTGCCAGAAAGTGTCCCTTTTTCTTTACGTCAGTGGATTTGCAGTCTTTTTCATAACCCTGCAAACCTTTGGTTAAATGAAAAATCATACACCCACAGTCTTGCATAGACAGAAAAAGCAGGGGTTGGGGCGTGGGGCGGTGGGGGAGGGGAGCCAGCATCCGTGCTTTGCAGTAGCCCCTGCTGGTTCCTCCAGAATGGGATGTCTCCCTCACCCCACCCCCACCCCGGCACTGGGCTGGGTACCTGGCTCCTCCCTGTCACTCACTGTAGGTACAAGGAGACAGCGTTCAGGAGGCCAAGGTCCTGCCCCGTCACGGCCAACACACGTGAGGCACAGCTACCTGGTGCCAAGGCCGCCCACACCGCCTGCTGAGCCCTCTGTCCGTGGAGGCGAGCCCATGGCCGTGAGGAGAGCTCGTGGGGTTCTCAGCAGTAACCCAGTTACACCGGCGCAGTGCGGGCGTCTGCTGAAGTGCCTCCTCACTTCAAGCACGAACTGCCCACGTGGCCGCCCCTCCCACATCATGCTGGGAAGTGACCCGTGGGCAAGGCCCAGCTCTCCCCAGTGACTCCTGCTGCTGACATTGGCTCCCGGCCCGGGGGCTCTGCCCCCAGAAGATGTGCCAACCCCCCACCAAGGCAGGCAGACCCCAGCAGAATCCCCCTCAGTGCTGGGATTTCCATTCTGAGAGTAGCGGGCCACTGGGTTTGGGCACAGCCACTGCAGGACTCCTGGTCAGGGGCAGGAGCACATCTGCTGCCCCCAATGTCCTACAGAGAGCTGGCCCTGTGGGTAACTCTGGCCCACTACTCTCAGAGTTCCCCGAGGGCTCAAAGGGTCTCGCAGGTTTGGAAATTTCCACCTGTATACCTGGATGTGTGTTCCCAATGACCTTGGGGCTTCCTGAGCAATCTGTTCAGAGGAATTAATTCCGCAGGCTGGCGCTGCTCAGGGAGACATTGTGGGTCTGCCAGGGCTGCCGCTCAGGCCTGGCGCAGGGATGAAAAGCAGGCCTTGCTCCAGCACCCCGGGAGCCAAGGGCAGCCCAGAAACCAGTCACATGCCTGGATCAACAGAATAGGCTCTGGTGGGGGTCTGAGCCACACCCGCAGCCACTGCAGGCAGGAACTGACGATTGGTGGGCAGGGACCCACGTATCTGGCTGTCAGGAGCCACACGCCTACTCCCCGAGTCCCTCCTCCGTGCTGGCGAGAGACCCCCGACCCCTCCAGGCCTTGATGCGGCTCTGCACGGCAGCCCGGCACCCTTCCGATGCCACAGGCCCAACTTGAGGCTGGCACTGGGCTGTCTGGTCACCAGCTGGGTGCACTTTCTCTGGGCTCAGCCAGACTGGGCTGTCAGCTGACCAGTTTCTGCAGGTGGCAGCCCCAGCCCCCCAGCCTCAGTCAGCCTGGCTTCTTCCTGCTGGAGCTTCTGTGCATCTGGGGGAAGCCCTGACGCCTCTTGTCCCCCTGTCACACTGTCCCCCACAGGTAGCGTGGCCCAGGGGCCCACGGGTCCTGCTCCTCGGTGACAGGCGCTTCATTACCATTCCCCACCCCCACATCAAAATCAGCAAAACACCACAGGCCGCCCGATGTGCTGGGACACAGGTGGGAGAGCGGGCCGGCTCCAGGGGGCTTGGGGCCCAACGCAAGTCACTGCCACCACTGAGCGCTTACTATGTGCCAGGTGCGGGGCTCTGGCCTTGGCATCCAATGCCTCGTCTATCCTCCCTCACTGTACCAGCCAGTGCTGTGACGCTCGTGTTTCACAGACAAGACCACCTGCCCGAACCCCCGTGAAGGTGGCCACGGCCAAGCCAAGCCCTGCCACATGCCGTGCGCCTGATGCTGGTGCGCCCCTTCCCGAGGGTGCCCAGTGGGTGTCCACCTCCCCTGCCCCTGAGCTCTGGGGAAACTGTGGGCTGGGAGCCAGCAGGGCTGAGCTCCAAGGAGAGGGAGTCACCGAGGAGGGGACTTATTAGTCTGTGTCTTCAGACACGAGTGAAGGCAGCCTCCCAAGCTGCTGATTACTGTAATCAGGTGTTTTGCACAAATACGACGTCGATGATGCATCGAACTGGCAGTAAGAGATTAAATTAAATGCGTTATTTCAAAGGAGACAAAATGGGCTTGGCGGGTATGAGGGCAACTAGCATCCTCCTCGCTCTTGCCTTTTGCTGCGATAATTGCTGCCCAAGGACTGAGCACCGTGTACACGCTGTGCACTCAGGGGCCCGGTGAAGACCTGCATGCCCAGGGCTGTGCCGGCAGGAGCCTGTGGACAGGGGCAGCCCCTTGGGAGGCCATGGGCAGCCATGGCACTCGTCAGCCCTTTGCTGGGTTCAAGAGCATGTCACGCACCTGTCCCTCCAGTGACGGTACAGAGAGACATATGCCTGTGCAAAGGCAACCTCCCCAAATCAGCCCCTATGGGAGAGACCCTGGGCTCGGCCCCAATAGGTCTGCCGGACCCTGACGGCTACTTGTTCCCAGGCGTGAAACTCAGAAACTCAACTGCGGGATGGCAGGGATGGGGTGAACCCTCTCGAGGGGATGAACCCTCTCCCTGCCGGGCCCTGCCCCCATTCACCACACTGCAGCTGGCCTGGACTCTGCCGCTGGCTGCCACTCCAGGCAGGGGTGGGGGATGTCCGGTGTCGGGTGGGACCGGAGTGTGTCAAGATTTCTCTGCCCTGCTTCTGGGTCAGAAACCCACCGCTCCCCAACACTAGGGCTGGGGTGGGGCTGGGTGGCTCAAGGCAAGGCTGTCACATGGGTCCACAGACTGTTGCTCTTGGACGCGCAGGGTGCCATCGTCTGTGCAGGGGCTTGTTCTGGCTGCAAAGTGCTGCCATCGCTGTCCTGTGTGATGGTGCGGCATGAACCTGGGCCTGTCTCCAGCTCTGCTCCCTGCTGGCTGGGCTGCACATGGGAGGGTAGGGACTGCATGAGCCTTGTGGCGCCTCTGGACCTGACACTGACTCCGCCTATCACTGGGGCAGAAAGCATCACTGAGCAGACCCTGGGATCGGTGACAGTGCACACTGCTCAAAGCCTCCATGGATGAATGTGGGTCCTCCAGCCCAGGCCATGCTCGGGCCCCTCATGGCCTTGGAGGTGAAGGACATCCTTGGTAGCTGTCACGGCTGGTGGAGGCGGAGCCTTGCTGGTCGGGTGGCACCTCTGCTTCCCAAGAAGATCCTTGACGCCCACATCCCCTCTGGGCTCGGCCTGCACCTGAGCTCCCGGCCCCCCCAAGACTTCTGGACAAGGACAGTGAGCCTCCTGTGGGACATCAGGGCTGTGGTGGTAGCTCAAGGAAAGACATATGTCTCGTGGTGTCACCCTCTGGGACATGACAGAGCTGCTGAGATGGCCTGGGTTGTGGCTGTGCTGGCCAGGGTGGCATGCCAGTGGCCCGATGTGGGTGAGGGATGGTGGCCAGTTTTGTGGCCCTGGCCAGCCACGGGAAAGGCAGAAGATGTGTGGGGGACGGGGGAGGTTAAGAGGCAGGTCCTCAGCTCACGGAATGGGTGAGGCTTGACTCCGAGCTCCAGCTTTCACCTGGACAACTGAGCTGCACGCCAGGAACTTCACCTGCATGATGGGAGCTGACTGTGAGGCAATAAGAGACCAAAGTTGGAGGCCACGCCAGCAAAGGCAGGCCATGCACACCATGCCTGAAGAACACGTACCTCTCCAGCTGCCACAA